CAAATAAAGAAGTCTGGAGAGCGCGCTCTCTGGTAGCCTCGGCATGGCGCGGACGGAAACGACACGGGAATTATCGGCGCGCGGACGGAACCAGCTGGAGCAGCGGGAAAAATCATCGGCGCTGAGTTAGGGTGACCCTAACACGCCCCGAGCCTTGGAGGGCAACACGACACAACCATCAGCCTGTTCGGCTGGAGGGCGACTTGGTTACACACCCATGTTAGAAAGCCGTTGCTGCTGCTACTGCCCAGCCCCGCCAGACCTCCAGCCGAACAGGCCCGTGGCGCACGGTAACGAACCGAACCAAACAAAACCGAGACGTGCACCTAAAGAAAAGGACGGCTCTCCTCGAGTCCTCTCTCCTCTCTGCTGGAGCATCACTCTGCCGGTTGCCAGCTGCACTGCACTGCACGGCCACCGTGCCGGCCGTGCTTGCGCTTGCTTCGGAGGCAGGCAGGCCGCACCTGATGCCCGGCCGCGGCGTACGTGTACGTACGTGCAGTGCAGGGCATCATTCGGTGGAGTCACCAATCAACCAGCCAGCCAGGGCTTGCTTTCCGCGAAAGGCTGGCTGGCCTTGCGATCGCTGGACCAAGCAAAGAGTCCCCATTTTTTATGCTTCCATTCCAAAGCTGCTGTCCTGGCAAAGAAAGGAAGAAAAAAAAGGAAGCCTCCAGAAAGGCAATGCACCGATGAATCGGCCATGCCTCTTCACTTCCACTGCGTCGCGCGCGTGATCCTAGACCGATATCGAGCTCTGCGTTCTATCTTGCGATGGGAGTCATTTTGTGTTTGTTATTACTCCACTGCTGACTGAAGTGAACCGGAGGAGCTAGTGGATGAGCAGCTGCTATGGTAGGTGGAGTGAGAGACTGAGTGAGAGTGAGAGTGCGTACCAGCGCGAGGGCGTCGCGGGCGGCGAAGGCGAGGATGTCGGCGCAGGAGACGACGCCGAAGCAGGCCTGCTCCAGCCGCGTCTTGGCGCTGTCGATCACCTCGAAGCCGCGAAGGCTCGCGTTCGGCGCCGCGTCCTTCTCCGCCTGGTTGCCCGCCGTCGAGTCCAGCAGCACCGACGCGTCGCACCCCTGCTTGCATGCGTCGCCGTCGTCAGTACAACAGCTCGCTATCAGTCAGTAAAACGAAATAAACTGATCGATGCTCGTGTTGCTTCTGCATGCACGTGACTCATGTAACAGATGAATAGTTTCATCGCATCGCTGTAAAACAAGGCCAGGAGAGGAAAAGAATATGTGTGCGTGGAGGGGAATGAATGAATGAACAGAGGAAGGAGAGGCAGGCAGGCAAGCTCCACATGCAACTATGCAATGCCAGCGAGGCACCCGTCCCCACAGTGACACCACGTTGCATTGGATCACTCGAAGCTTGTCTCCTCCTCTTGTACGCAAGGCAGCAGAGTGCCCATGTCATGGTAGACTGGTAGTAGGTGAATCGAAGCAGCTGTACGGCATGCCGTGCTGTCATTCATCAATAACGGAAGAGCGAGGGAGTGCGTGCACTGACCCTGACGAAGCAGTCGTGGAAGTGGAGGCGGAGGAGGCCGGCGGCGATGCCGGGGTTCCCGGACGCCGCCTTGCTGACCTCATCCTGCACGATGATCTCCGCCGCCGGGCACAGCGTGTCGTAGAACCCCACCAGCAGCTGCGCCCGCGACCCGGCCGCCGCCATCAACACCACCACCGCCCACACCAGGGCCGCCGCTTCTCCTCCTCTGCCTCTGCGTCCCCCCATCTTCCAATCCCCTGCCGCCCGACCTGGACGGATGGTTGAGCTAGCTGAGCCTGAGCGCTTGTCCGGCCGGCGGCTGCAAAAAAGGCCACCTTTTTCGCTCCCCCCTCTCGTCTCGATCGCTACCGCTGATGATGATTCTTCTTCTTCTTCTTCTTCCTCCTCCTCCTCCGGTCACAGTTGCGCGGTGGGACTCCAGTCGATCCAGGCGGTTTTATAGGGCAACTGGCAGAGTGGGGTGGCCATCCCATGTGGGAGGGGGGCCCCTGAGGGAGGGCCATTGCTAGCGCTTAGTGGAGGAGAGAGAATGAGAAACGGGCCCTTGTGGTTGTGGTCTAGAGCATGATTGATTGAGATTTGTGAGGCAGTGAGGGATAATAAAAGAAAAGAAAAGGCAGGTGTTGATGCTGAAGAAAACGATGCATGCATGGGATCTGTAAAAATGATTCAGGCCTTTTGGTTTTGATCTGCTGCATTGATGCATGGAAAGCGTCCATCTTGTTGCTTGGCGAGGGGCCCCATGGGCCATGGACAGTGTCACGGTGGGAGTTGACAGAGGGCCCTTCGGTTTGGTAGGTACAAAGGGAAGGATTGTATGCTAAGCTGAGCTGGGAACCGTGATGATACCGTGTTTTTTTCTTTCTTTCTTTCTTTCTTTCTTTCTTTCTTTCTTTCAGTTATATATATGCACTACTCCATGGAGCTTTCTTCCCATGCATGCTGAGAGTGAGAGTTGGCCAGGTCAGGTGGTACATGCTAGAACATCCACAGCAGCACAAGAGATGCTGGATGATGAATCATGAATGGCGGTACAGTGGCCGGGTTTACTATATATCTCCTGTCAAATGAAATTACTGTGCTTCTGATTCAGCTGGCAGCACGAGCAACTACCTCCTGATGTACATAACAAGTACATATGCACGATTTCACTCCATCAATTTTGTAGTTCCATCATTGCCACCTCCCTCCCGTGTGCTAAACGCATGCGGACGAACTCATCAGTTTATATATTGATATATCATATACATACTTGTATAGAATAGTACATATACAAATACGCACAGATGTCGGGTTGCTTCAGAGAGTAAGGTAATCAATGTCAGTGCAGTGCTTATGAGGTAGTATCATCTCTTGATGATTCTGAGTTCCGTCGTCCCGATCCGTAAGCAACGACGAGCGTCATCAGGCGGGAAACGCGCAATCATGCCAGCTGCCCCCACGCGGCGTGTGTGCTGAATCCACGGCCACCCCGAACATGCACTGCATGATTGATCAATTGATCCCATGGATTGGATTGGATTGGATTGCTTCGTGGACGGATTTGACTCCTGCCGCCTACGTTACATTACATTATTCATTGAAAAAGCCTTTCTTCAGACGCATGATGAAAACCTTTTTTCTGCTAGTATTTGTACATATGCTTAGTATGAGTAGTATATTTAGTAGTAGTGTTTAACAACAGACAAGTTTAGGAGTACACCTACAAATGTGGTTAGTTAGGAGCAGGCAGGGCAACTCAGGCCAGAATAGATTCTGGCTTCCGAGAAAAGAAGCCCCAGATCCGAGTGCCTTCCACGTTAAGGAGGCAGATAGAGCTTTTCTTCAGCAGCGCCAGGCGCCACTCTTTAGATCCGTCAGTGCAGAAGCTTTACCGAAAGGAAAGCATGCAGTGCAGAGCCCGTCTGGTCCATGCAGTTTCTTGGTAAAGTTGAGTTACTGAAGAAAGGTACTCCTAGTCTCTGAATGGATGTTGAAAGGCTCACTGGTGGCTCACTGTTCCCACTGTGGGGCCTTGTTTAGATTCCAAGTTTTTTCACTCTCTCTCCATCACATCAAATCTTTGACACATGCATGGAGTATTAAATATAGATAAAAAAATAACTAATTACACAGTTTGATTGTAAATTACGAGACGAATCTTTTGAGCCTAGTTAAGCTGAAAGGCTCACTGGTGGCTCACTGTTTCCCAACAGTCTAAACAAGAACAGGTGGAACAGGGAGCTGGAATGGAACATTCCTTTTCTGTTCTTGTTACAGCACCTTTTATTTTACCGTCTTACGGAGTATTACAGAGTTACTTACAGCGCTGTAGTTCTTAATGTAACGTCATTCCAGCTCAGCTTCTGCTGCAGCCAAGAACGGGTTGCCAATTGCTAGTTCATTCGGGTCCATGCCTCTGCCTGCCTGCCTGTCTACGTACTCCGGCGCGGTGAGCGGTGGCTGCACATGCAGGCAGGTCCATGCCATTGCCATCAATAGCCAATCAGTCAGTAGATCATGGACTGCTGCTGTCGGTTTTGCTTTGACCCCAATTCCAGGAAGACGAAACCGGTGCCACAACTCAGACGATTTCGCTTCAGTTCAGGCTTGGCACTTGGCCCTTGGCAGCGTTGCGTGCTGAAAATGAAACCCGGGCAGAATTTCCAGCCAGTTTTACAGGGCCAAAAAACGGCATCTTGTGCTTGGAATCAGGCTGTACTGTGTAGGGATCGGATCAGGCTCATCTTCTTCTTTTTTTAGAGGAAAAGAAGGCCCTTTGTTATCGTGTGCATGCCCTGGCCGGATCAGGTTCTCCATGCTGCCTGTTTTGGTTGCAAAGTTGGATCTACTTTCGTTGCCAAATCGCAAAGCTTTTGCGTCTTTTCGGTCACGGTTTTACGGACGAAAAATAGCGTTATTTATAGCACAGCCTCGAGGAAAGGCTCCGTCTCATGCGCTAATCAATCATGCAGCATTTTGGCAGCCCAGTTCGTGATCATTAATAATGTTCAAAAGACTATTTAGGTAGGCAGGCAGGTGAGGCGCCCGATTGTGCTCCGCACATGACAAATTAAAAGTGCGCCGCAGGCACCGCCCGGCCCTCGTCTTCTTTTTCATTTTTCTATACTACTAGGACAGGTTCGAGAACCTGTGTGAACTTGCATGTCCCTTCTTGCATTTGCTGTTCCGGTGTTGCCAAACAACACATGCATTGGTATTTGGTATCGCAATGTTCACGAGCAGGCAGAAGCACACATACAATACAAACTCGATTTGATTTCACAGTTTGAGAACTAAGACACTCGATCAGTTGGCTTTTTATTTTTAATGAAACCTGGCTTTCTGGATTCAAATTCTGAACGTGTACGAGTGCTAATATTTTATACTGGAATATACATAAGTAGACACAACATATGCCAGTCGGTAAATGTCATTGTAGTTCTTAAAATCCATGCTTACAGAAACTTAGCAAAGCCGGCCTTTTGGTAGTTGTATTAGATCGTTATCAGAGCCCAGACTATGGCAACACAGATTACAACGGCAACGACCGACAACACGATGCCCCAACAAGAACTGCTTTTCCTCATGCGCGTGTTGAGTGCTTTCAGCCTCTTCAGCGCACGCTGCAGGTACACAGACAAGAACGAACATGTTAGCTCATCTGAAGCTTGGAGGAAGCTGCTTAGAAGCTTAATTTTGGCTATGTAATGGTGAAAATTGTTAGGGAGATCGATGAGACATGTACCTGCAGACGGTTGCTTGTGCCTTCAACCTTCTCGTCCAAGTTCTCCTGCAACGTTCAAGTGAAAGTGATTCAGAACCAGGTACTCACTCTGAAAGCAGAAGCTAGCTGCAGCTCTGTTTCAGGGACCACGGCTGGCAGCAGGACAGATTCAAGTGACACTTACAATGAGCTTAGTTTGCAGGTCCAGCTCCCCATTGATCGCGAGCGCAATGTGCTTCGTGCTGGTAACAGTCTCCTCCAGGATCTCCAGTTCAGCATCTTGCTCTGCACCATGTATTTACCATACATATATCACATGTACAAGTATTTTCAGTGACTGAATGGGATGGCACGCAGAGGCTTACCTTTGATGACCTTCCTCTGCAATTTGACCATCTCATGGTTGTCCATGTTGGCAATGCTGCTTACATCTATCTTTGCGCTCTTCTCGCACAAATCGTTCCTGAATATTCAGGACAAGAATTTGCTCGAGATTATCAGACTGCAAATTAATATTATGCATGATGGATACTATATACTCGGATACTCTTATATACATGTACTAGTAGAGTAATTCACCTGTCCGAGGAGTACTTCATAGTGAACTGGCCGCCAACCTCCTGTGCCTTGGAACTCACACCGGAGAGCTTCTCGGCGAGCTTCCCCAACTGTTTCAAGCTTCTGCAATGCACGAGAACCATCATGTTATAGTTTCTTCTGTTTTTTGAAATATGAAAAAAATGTCTTCTTTTTTTCAATCAATCAAATTAAACAAGAGGGAGATTACTCTTTTCTATACTAACATGTTTTGCCTTTTGGGGAGATCAGACAGGTCCTCCTTGAGCATGTCGAGCCTGGTCCCGAGGATGGCGACCTTGCGCCGGATCTCGGCGGTCCGGCGCTGCAGCTCGCGCGGCAGCGACGGCGGCACGGACTCCCTCTCGGTGACCCGCTCGGCGACCTCGTCCACCAGCCTCTGGGCCTCCTGTAACCGCTTCGTCCACTGATCCACCGGGGAAGACGATGACGCCGCTGCACCTCCGCGAGGGGCCGTGATCGGAAGAACTGAACGCGCCATGTATGCCGCCGCCCCAGGGCCCTACGCAGATGCAGATGCAATGCAGCTACGCTCACGCTACAAAAGCAAAAGATCCCGGCGAGTTCAAGCGGGAATTTGCTCCTTGATTTACTCAGTCCGGTGCGAGACAAGGAAACTGATCGTCGACGGCGTGCAAGCGCATGCTCCGTGGACGTGGGTTTTGATTCTGTGGCGCATTGCACTGCGCGATTTCAGGAGGAAGTAGCTACGACTACGACGAGTCCGACTTGGTTCTGGTTTCCTAGAGGTGTTCGGTGTCCGGTCCCTGTTCCAGTTTCGATCTGATTCCCGCCTCGTCGAGTATTATTTTACAACAATTTCCTTCTTTTTATTGTACAAAAAAAAAGTTTTGTGAACACATACAACATCACCGTCAACAGGAAGGACTGTATGTTTTATTTGCAACAGGCAGCGTAAATAATAGCACCTGGATCTGGCCCATCTTAATCGGAATTAAATTGTATGGCCCAGTAGTAGAGCGTGTCGAGGACGTACGTACGACAGGAACGCTGGGTCCAAGCCCAGCAGAGTGAAGAGAGCCCAAACCCAACAAGGGTACAGAAAGCCCATTTGCTGCGGCCTGCGGGTGACGGTCGCGGCGGATAGATAAGGCCCTGCCCTGCGGCCGCGCTCTCCGTCTTGGCGCACGCTCGGCTCGACACCCCTTATCCGGAGCACTCCCCAGTCTCCGCCACCGTTCCCGTGCGTCGCCACCGCACGTCGCTGCACCACCACCGTAGCCTCCTCCGCTCACCCCGACCACGGTCCAGCCAGGATGGTCAGCGAGCAAGCTCCAGCGGCGGAGGTGGTGGAGGGCAACGAGGCGGCGGCGCCGGCGCCCGTGGAGAGCGAGGAGGCCGCGCCCAAGGCGGAGGAGCAGCAGAAGGAGGACGAGGCGCCGGTCGTCGTCGAGGACGTCAAGGAAGGCGAGGACGAGGACGAGGACGAGGACGATGACGACGACGACGACGATGACGAAGCTGATGAAGGTAACGTGTGTGCTTGTTACCTTCTGCTACCTTCTGCTACCTGCCCTTCATGCTGCAGAGTGCAGAGTGCAGAACTGCAGATAGATTTGCATGTGCCAGACGGGGACTGATTTTAGCTGCGGTGTCTCTGGCCGTGTAGGTGAGCTAGGCGCCGGCGCAACTGAGGGCACCAAGCAGAGCCGCAGCGAGAAGAAGAGCCGCAAGGCCATGATGAAGCTCGGAATGAAACCCGTCACCGGCGTCACCAGGATAACCATCAAAAGAGCCAAGAACGTACGTATATACATATGCCACGAGAAACACACCTAACTTTTCTTCTCCATGCATGTATACAAACAAGATGTTCATATATGCAATTTTCATCTCATGCATACAAACAAGATGTTAGTTAATGCAATTCTTAGCCCTTGTTATTACTGTCATCCGACGCACATAACACAAGCCAATGCAAATGCGACACACTTTGCCTTATCATCATGCCTACCTATAATTTGCCTTCAGATACTGTTCGTGGTGTCCAAGCCGGACGTCTTCAAGAGCCCGACGTCGGAGACGTACGTGATATTCGGCGAGGCCAAGATAGAGGACCTGAGCTCCCAGCTGCAGGCGCAGGCCGCGCAACAGTTCAGGATGCAGGACCTCAGCAAGGTGATGGCCAAGCAGGACGCGGCTGCCGCCGCGGCGGCACCGGCCGACGAGGAGGAGGAGGTCGACGAGGCCGGGATAGAGCCCCGCGACATCGACCTCGTCATGACGCAGGCCAGCGTCACCCGCGCCAAGGCCGTCAAGGCTCTCAAGGCGCACGACGGCGACATCGTCAGCGCCATCATGGAGCTCACGGCCTGATGATGATACCTACTGTACCGTTCCTTCCTCATTGCAGCCTGCTTCGTCAGGAACACCAACACCCGGTGGAAATGGAATCAAATCAAACGCGTCGTCCAGCGTTGTAGCGTCGCTGTTCATTTTTGGGATTTGCGTAAGATGAGTTTTGAATAAGATGTATTGTTTGTTCACCGTATGGACGTTGCATCATTTCAGTTTCCAGATTAGTGTCATCCTTGATAAGTTGGTATAATTATTGGATTCTCATTTGCAGATTAGACCAATCTCTCGAAATGGGCTTCACAGATTTAATTGGCTTACCGGGTACGGGTAGCATGGTCACTCTGTTCAAATGTCATCGCACGCAGCAATGGCACTTTCATCATGTGTACTATGTTGTTGCTACATGTACAGATCACAGAATGTGAGGTGTTTGTAAGCATCTAAGCACTGAATACATAGCGGGACGAAATAGATACTTGAGAAGAAAGATGTTAATATATATCAATATAAATTTATTGGATCAATGCACTGTTCTTTAAACACCTTATACAATCGATGAATACGAGGCCTCCGATATCCTATATCAACCTATCCTTTCCTCTATTGCAATCTGCAACTGCTATTTGCGACACCTCAGTACCTCACCAGTAAATACCTAGTAGTAACCAGTGACCTCATCAGACAAAAATAATCCTCTAATCTCACTCCTCAGCTCTGCTTATGTTTTTATTTGCGAGGGCTGAAAAGCATTGAATGGGTATAAGAATGCTGAATGCCTCCATATCACCACTACCCGCCACCAAGAACATCAACAAAGATTATTTGCATTGCTCAAAAGCACTGAATGCTTCCACATCTACCACTACCACCACAAAGACATCAAAGATTATTTGCCATCAGGCTTGTCACGGTAATTTCGATTCAGCAGCTCGAGCAGAAGAACGGCGGCAGAGTCCTTGGCCTTTTTCACACTCGGCATTGGCTCTCCAATGCACTCGTCAGTCCATCCACGGTCAGATGTATTTACCCTTACCGCATAAACAAATCTTTTGGCATGGGCAGGGCCACCCTCGTTTATACACCTGTACTGTGGCATTGGCCATTGCCTTCTCAAGCAGATGTCGTTCAGGGTCTGCCTAGTGAACTGAGAACCGTTTTTCTTCTCGCCATCCTTTTCAGTATCTTTCTTTGCTGCAGTTTCCTTCTCTTTCAAGACAACAAGTGCATTTCTAGCCGCCAACTTTTGTGCCATCTTCTTCTGTGGGTTCTGAGCTACACCAATCTGTATGCCATCAACAAAGACCTCAACTGTAGCTACATTGCCTGTACGTGAAGCTTTGTATTCTAGTCCTTCAGCTTGCTGCTGGCAGCGCTCTTGGAGCTCCCTTACAGGGTGCATTGGAAGGGTGTCCGGTGTCACCATTGGATCAAGCAGAGGCTGAAAAACCTGACATGATGGATTAATAAAATGAAACTTTAGTATTTTCCACACGAGGATGAACAGAATTTCATTCCAAAGGATACAGAAACTACCTTCCAGACTATAGAGGTATCACACCCACTATCCAGGAATATTGCGCCAGCAATAGACTCAAAAATGTCTCCGAGAACCTTTGGAGCCTTACAATCCCCAAGCCCAAAAGAATTGAAACCTGGTTTCGAAAGCTCCACCTGGACATCCTTCACAAACTCTCGAATCTTCAGAGGATAGAGAGAAAATAGTCAGCACTGCTTCCAAAAGGTGGCAATAATTTCAACATAACAGAACTCTAGTTCAAACATTACAGCATATTTAGGTAACACATAGTCCCCCCATTCCAAATTCTAAGACATTTTGGCTTTCTAGATACATTGCTTTTACTACGCATCTAGACATAATGTATTTCTAAGTGCATAAAAAGCTATGTATCTAGAAAAGCCAAGACGTTTTATAATTTGGAATAGAGGGAGGGAGTAACAAGGAAGTTCACTACTGAACATTAAGAAATGGCCCACCTGTGTCTCCAATGCAGATGATCCATGGCGAAGATGTACATGCAGCTTATGCTTAACTGTAACCCTTGCAAAGTTCTCATTATTAACAGCTGCAGCTCTCAAGTCAGTCAAGCGGCCCGGAGGTAGGTCGGTATAAGTAAAAAATAAGTGCTTCGTAATGAGATGATCCAATACAGCATCACCAACAAATTCCAAGCGTTGGTAACAGGAAACACCTGATGATGGTCTTGATGCATGTGTTATAGCTTCAACAAGTAACCCTTTGTTCTGAAACTTGATACCCAATGCACCCTCTAATGTGTCAAAATTGATGCTTTTCATTATGCTCTCAGGTATGCTATATGGCCTTGAACAAGGGATCTCTTGAGGATCCAACTCTGCATTAATACCGATCCATTTCATCAGATGGTTTGCAGCAATTTTCCCTCCAGCTACATAATAGACACCAATAAGTGCTTCCACAACATCTGCTAATGTTTTGCTTGATAAAACACGATAGCAGCTAGAATCTCCCTCAATTTCACCATCTTCTTCCATGCTCTCTCCATAGTCATCATACGAGTTCTTTTGTAACTCACTGCTAGGAGTAAATTCCTCATCAAAGATGGATGGTTCAGAATCTCTTGTTTCTTCATCAAATACAGGTAACACTCCTGGAGCTGCCCATCTTGATGGAGCAAACCGATCTGCTTGGATATAAGATTGGAGGTTTTTATTCAAAGCGTATTGATACAGGATCATGTTGCTAACCATCTGCTGCCGCATCCTTGTGAGCTGTCCCTCGTGCTTTTGAGGATATTTTAGGAAAAGGAATCTACTCACAACCCATTTCAAGTATGCATCACCCAGCAGCTCTGCTCTTTCATAGCAGAATGTCTCCTGGCATGACGCAGCAGTCAAGGCTTCTAATATCTGTGAACCACACAAACAAAAAGCTATTAATCAATGTGCAGAATTTCAAGTTTATTTGAGAATAACATTTAGCTATTGCATGATGAATCTAGGTGAATAATGAACGGGTTTATGGTATTTCCACATTTTTTAACAAGCATGATCTTTTCAGAAGACTAGACCCTTAAATTTACCCTGCCTATTATCATGTACAAAACTAGCATTAGTATTTAGTAGCACCTGGATTGAGTACATATTGGTTTGTTTAAAAAAAATCTTGTTAACAGACATGATCCACCAAGGCTAGGAGCCACAATGAAGGTCTAGAGGTGTCATTGCGTGCTCCACTTAGTTTGCATGTAGTCTTTGACATCTCAATAGAAGACAGTGGTGTAATATAGAAAGGACAAATTTAAGTGTTCCATTCACCGGTAAATTCTACCCGGGGACGTTAGAAAGTTTTCCCTAAAACATGTAGGCTTGAGAGCTGCAGGTGTACCTTATTTGCAGGAACTGGATAACCAATTATGTCCTTCAGTTGAATTGCAAGAAGCATGCTCTCCACCCTTCTCATTATTGAGGGTAACCTCTGAGCTCCACGAACAAGTGATCCGGGAAGAGGATGCACAAGGCACAATTCGGGTGGTAAATATACATAGTATGTTTTGTCAAGATTCTCTGAGAATTCTCCATTGCCAGCTGCAAAACAATAGTAGTACAAATCCATTACACAAACACTTTCCCCTTTGCAAGTATATTAAGCACTAAGTTTGTATTTCTTTATTAAATTAATCTAGGGCTGAATGGGAAGTCTTGGATGGGCTTGAAAGACCAAAACATCAGTGAATAGTAAAACATTAAGGCAAACAAAAAAAGTCTAAATGAAATCTCACAAAAGAAATGCATAGCTTTTACCTTCAGAATGCTCAAATCTAGGAGAAAGTAGATTTTTGCAGTATGAAACACCTCGTGCCCGTATAAGAGGTTGTTTCTTATAAATTAACTCCACACCATACCTGAGAGGAAAAACAAGAAGGATCATGACATGCTGCCACAAAGCTACTTTGCCAAAAATGGAAAGCAAAAACAGCCAGAGCTAAGAGAGAACTCCTTTTGCTTTCAGCATTCAAAACTTATCTTACTTCTGTTTGTAGTAATCAGCAAACGAGCTGTACTCCAAGGGACCCAGATAGCCCTCTTTCCTAGGGAATGAATTTTCTGCGTTCATGTTGTAGCAAATACTGTCCACATAGAACCTTTTTCCTGAGTGGGCGGCAGTTACAACCATTCCAGCAAGATCTTTAGCATCCCAACATGAATCTGCCATGAACAACTTGCCTTGGTTTTGATAATCATTAAAATGTCCCCGCTCACGACCAGGAACTAATCCAGATGCTTTGACAACATCAAATTCAGCGATGGCTCCTCTAATACCATACGTAGGGTGGGCTTTCTGTCCAAATGCAGTTCCATGACGCAACTTCCCGAACCCATATTCCCTCCTATCTCCGCCAAGTGTCCTTTCATTCGTGCCAAGATAGACATCTGGGCGTGCCCTCTGAAGAGGGTTGTTCCAGGCATCAGAGTTCACAATGCTGTTAACTAGAGTCCAATCTATCTCTCTTAAAAGATCCATACATTTCTCAGCTCCCACAGGAACAAAGAGGTATGCTTTTGTTGGATCCCACGGAGTTGTTGAGGGATCAACATCAACGTCAAGTACTATGCTCATGAGCCTAACATGAAAGCTCTTCAGCAGGATCAGCTGGAAGCACATGAGCAAGATTAGCAACATTAATGTAAAAATATGGAAATGAACTTTGATGCTTCATCGCAAAGAAAATCAACCTGACTTTCTGTAATTTCAATTGGTCCACGGAATACGAGAGATGCCTTTGTTATTATTGTCCTAGCAACAAAGAGATCCATCGTCGTCGATAAAACCTAAAATATCGAAACATTATAGACTTTTAAACGTTCATTTCTCAAGTTGCGTACTATCACCAGGAAAAAAATTTACCTCTGCATCCAGCTCCTTGCCAAAAATAAGAGCAAAATTTGAAAGTTGTGTAACAAAAGGGTCCTTTTGAAGTCCCAATGTTTACACAGTTCACAGAATACAAATATAACTTAATAAACTGTGAACTTTGGTAACCATCTCTTCCAGATAAAATCCATTCTCCCTGTTGAAAACTAAGTTCAGTGAAATGAAACTAATTACAAACCAAAAGTACCAGCAGATCGCAATTCACAAAGCACCATTAAGACTAAGTTACGTTCAAGCTCAGGTAATGTGAGAAAGAAACACTAACCTGCAGAATATCAGCAACCCCTTCAGGAAAGAACTCTCTATGGCGTGCTGTTCCAGGTAGTGGATCACCTTCATCATTTTGTTCAGTCTTTTCTCCTTCCCCACTTCCTCTGTCAGGTAAAAGCGTATCTGTGAAGGCACCCATCTCATGTAGCTTCTTACAAGCAGCTAAACAAACAGCCTGCACAAAAAGAACCAGGCATGGTTCAGACTCATACATAAAATGTACAGAAAAAAACTGAATAATAATGTGTTCCAGTGAACTGTCATTACTTGTTGTGCCAGGCGTATTGAACTGCATATAGGACCTTCAAGCTTCTCAAATGGAGCATTACAAGGGAGTTGAAGTTTGCAAGAATATTCTGTTGGCTTCTCATGCTTTTGCATAATAAATTCCGGTCGAAGAATAGAGTATCTGGAAGTAGGAAACTACTGATGAGCCTACGATTTCAACAATCAATTGAGCTAGTATACCAAACAAATCACAAGAGTTATGTACCTGTCACTCGGCAGCTGTGAACAGTAAAAATGTATGAGTCCAACTGCAGAGTTCAGACTGACAACAGCACCTGTTGATTCAACCTGGTACATAGAATCAGGTGATGTATCAACAGGGCTTAGCATAGAAGTGCCATCAAGATGACTGAGATCAGTTCTCTCAATAGCTTCTTTTCTCAATGTGTCTTCACTATTCCGAGCATTTCTCAAGAAAGCTTCATGAGACAAATTTCCTCTGGCACAATTAATTTATATATAAGTAGATGGATTTAGAAGGGCAGGCCTGGTGCAGTGGTGAGAGCTGTCTCACTGAGTCACCAGGTCACGGGTTCGAAGCAGCCTCTCCGCAGATTTTGCGGGGGGAAGGCTTGCCTCGGTTTTTCCCTTCCCCAGACCCACTCATGTGGGAGCCTCCGGCACTGGGTCTGCCCTTTTTTTTATAAGTAGATGGATTTAAACGGAGCATATTTTAATGGTATAATCAACAGTTTTGGTGACACAGAATTACCTTTCAAGCATCAATATGTAGTCAGATCCAGGCTTTCTAGCACGACCCCGAGACTGAATGTAGGCCAAAACAGTCTTTGCAAGGTCAAAGCGAATGACAACATTGCACTGCCGAATATCAAGTCCTTCCTCTGCAACACTAGTTGCAACTAACAGTGTAACCTGCAAACCCATAACAGAGGTTTTTTTATAACTGGTGTATGAGACACAAATCAACTCCAATATATACCCCTAAAGTACAATGGATATGTACTTGGACATATCTATTTTTAAACTTAGATATGTACATATGCACAGCACACAGTTAAACATAGTTTTAAACTTACAACACATATGTACTTGGAACGAAAAATATGAATGTAGAATTCTGTCATGAGTAGAAACATACTTGGACATCATGAAATTTAGCAGATTGCACAGAATAACTGAATGCAGATGAATAAGCCTAGCTAGTAACATAGCTAAACTCACAAAAGGTGGGTGTGCCACATCAAACAATATATGTTAAAGCATGTCATGAATAGAAACATACACGGCCATCACGAAATTTTGCGATTGTATCCTGCATTTGGCATGACCGCATCTCCTGGTTATTGTTATGACCTATCAAGCTTGCACACCGTATAAAGCCCAACGATGGAAGTTCTGCGAAGACCTAAAGCGATCATGAAAGGGAAACAGGTCAGAGAATTCATAAAAAGTTCAGAAGTAATCGATCTTAAGATGTGGAAAACATAGTCCCTACCTTAGGAAGGACTAATGCTGTTACCACTCGCTCTACAAATATGATAGCACGAAAATCCTCAGTGTGCTGATACTTAAGAAGTATTTTTATCAAAGCTTGCACCCTTGGAGTAACTTTTCCATCGGCCACTGCGGCACCAATGACTTCATCTACATGTTCACCTACAGAAACAGCTAGTGGGAAATAACAGCATACAGCGTTAAAAGTGAGGCTGAGATACCCTCAGGTATAATAAAGGACAAAAAAATAAACAAAATAGGTGCTAATTATATACCCTCAGGTATAATAAAGGACAAAGAAAAAACAAAATAGGTGCTAATTGTAAAATAAAGGAAAAGGGGAAATTCATTGGGGAAGGTTAAAAAGAAAAAGGTGACCACAGAACACATTTTGCAAGAAAAAGAAAGACTATTAATACCATGACTGTCAGGTAGCTCTCCCTCCTCAAGTTCATTTGGCTTGGGGTTTTCAGAATTATGCATTTCAACATCATTACTATCACTTTTCATTGCAGCCCCTTCAGTCAACTGGCAGTGTAACAAATCAACTACTTTTTTCAAGTATGACTCTTGAAACTTAACATCAACCTGGTAGTTGGCCCTTTCATCGTTCTGTAGTGCTGTCAAGAATGACTGTGCAACCTGAAATTAAGCAGATATAGTAGTTAGAAACACAAGACAGCTAGCGATACACTAGTTCACTGTTCATGTGAAGCAGTACCTTGTAAGCACACCACTGTCCTAGTTCACCCAGAGCATAGTTTATAGCTCTCAACTTCTGAATTAAATTAGCCGCACCATCACTTTCTGTACGCTCAGAAACACCATAGACAAGGCGTAGCTCATCTCTAGACCCTGCATCCCTAGCTCCCATGAACTGCCATTTAGTTCTCTTAGAACTAGAAAATGCAGCTTCTTCAACTGCAGCCTCCATTTGTTTGATTTGTTCATGGAAAGACAAAAGAGTGGCTGCTTTGTCATAGTGGACAATGACTTCCAAAGGCATGGGAACATGTTTCTCCAGCTCTTTCCGATCTTTGATCGTACAGACTACACAATCCAGTTTACTCTCAAGATTTCGTATCTTGATAGCACAATCTTCTTGGCTAGTCACTCCTATCCAGATAGTAGTACTAAGCATCAGAAAAACATAAATATAATAGAAGGCAAAGGAGCAGTAAATCTAAATATGAGACAGGACCTGCCAAAGAAAAATGTACATGGAATAACAAGGATACACTAAGGAGAGCCATACCCTTCAAGTTAACGGGTGAAGCAGTCATGCCAAACACAGCAGGCCTCTTGTCCTTTGGAGTGGTGTGATAGAATTCTGACATCACTAGAGAATATGGATGCTTTTTCACTGCATGATGGCACTCATCTAAAATCAAAAGATGTATGGCATCCATTTTAATAATACTGTGCCTAAGGATGTTCAACAAAATTTGAGCTGTCATAACAAGTACCTGCGTGAGACATGAATAAGTAACAGGCACAACAAACATCCTACTGAAGAACACACGAAAAAAGGTGATTTACTTGCTATACATCTTATCTTATTAAGTGTAAGCAAATGTGGGACTAAAGGTGTCTAGTTGACTTTCAAGGCAACAAATACATCTACCATGATCCTTAAAATAAGCAAGAAGGATCCCCCTCCTCTTAAATCCACAAGTTGAGAAAAAATTACAAAAGTTCTCAAAGACCTGGGATTTTAGCCAAAATATAATTATTGTGGCAAGGATCCCTCCTGATTAACAATACAATTGGAAGCAAATAGGATACCTTCTTATCCTAAGCCCGATCTTCTAAGAAGTTTTTTTTATCACTTACCGGCTCCGGCAAGTCAAGAAATTTCAGCTTGTGCATATAAACCATGTTAGAACAAGCTAGGTGCAAGAAATAATATATGGGATACAAATGAGTCAAACATATTGCATTCCAGAACCACGAGAATTCCAGTTAGACAACAAAATAACATAATGCACCCCTCAACACGCAAAAGGGTGCCATCAAATCATTCCTGAGGCATGTTTGGATCCTTGGGAAAACCATGCCTCACCTCGCTGGGCAAGGAAATCAGATGTGGTTGTTTCGATCTATGGCAAGCTTTCTTGTTTTCTATGTTGGCAAGGTTTTTCATTGCTATCCCAGGCTAGCCAATTTGGCTCCCCCACCTTGGCAAGGTAAGGTGAGGCGAGGCAAGTCTAGCTGAGGAACCAACGGCGTGCTTGGACCCTTTACCGAACCCTTTACCGAGTACTATGTCGCCTCCCAAGTCCGGAATGCCTGGCACCCGGGCATTTCGGGCCTGGTGGGGCCATCGTCGCCCGGGTCACGGCCATCCTCGATGGGATGCCCCAGACCCCGCTCGCCTTCCTCCTAAGTACCAAATGCCTGGGTCTTGGGCATTCCAGCCCTGGTGCGGCCCTCGCTGCCACGGTGGGCTGAACCATCGCCCCTCCCATGTACCAAATGCCTGCGCCTTGGGCATTTTGGTTCTTGTCAGAGCCACGGGCCTCCGCGATTCGGTGCCCCAGGCCTGGCCGGCCTCCCGAATCTGGAATGCCCGGCTCGCGGGCATTGTAACGCTGGTGTGGGGATAGGAATTGGAGCGTGCAACGCATTTGGATCTCCAACTAGTTTACCTTGGTTCCTGCATTGCCAGACTTCGTTTGTGTTTTTCCCTGCTGCTGCAAGCGAGTTGAATCGGCTTGCCTGCGCTGGCAAGGTTCCGCTTGCCCAAGCAGGAGAGGTGAGGCGGGGCTAGTTCACTGAGGGACCAAGCATGCCCCAAAACTAACCCCTAGTCCTAGTCAAAGAAAATAAAATTAAAGGGTAATAGTTTCCGTTCCAAAGTTTCAATTGTTAGTCGAAAAAATGTTAGTCTGGCGGGGACATTGCACTGGGAAAAAAACTGTCTGCTCACAGATTTGGAATAATGGAGGTGGAGGACATGACCACCAGCCTTCTGCAGGAAGCCCTGTAGGGGCATCGGCTAGGGCAGGAAGATGGACAAAGGAGGGGTTGGGGTGACTTGGATTAACAATAATTAGTATGAAGCAAAAAACAAGGACATTATCTGTGCAGTAACTGGTACAATTACATCTATACAATCTAGATAATCAAGAAATCCACCTCATATCTCAAGGAAAAAATAAATACAGACAAGAAAATGAAAAAACAGCTGGTAAGATTTAGGCCACCACATTGAATCAGTGAGTACAAACTATTATCACAAGGAGTAGTAAAACATAATTAGTTTTCTTAGGTAACAAGCACGCTAATTTACTCAAACATATAAAGGAATTATTCTGAGGAAACAAAATGCAGTAATTGCCAATGACATAGCAGGTACGAAAATTACATCTAGAGCAAGATATTTTTCTACAAATTAATATTCTGCAAAGAAACAATGAAATTTAATGGCATAGTAGGTAAGAAAATTACATCTAGAGCAAGATTTTTTTTAGAAATTAATAATCTGCAAAGAAACAATGAGACTTAATGCAAGTGTCTCGGCTACTAACCAGGTAAATCGAAAACTTAGTAAAACACTATAGTTTCCTAACTCAAGTGGCCTAAGCACAGGTTTGATCAGAGCTTGGCCATGGGGCATTGTATCTGAAAATAGTTTGGAAGTAAAAGTATGGCCACACATAGGAATTTACCTGTTTTGACTCAAACTCACGCTGCCACTTTCTAGAATCCCAGAAATCCTGCCCCATCTCGCCGCAGTAGTGCCCAACCCGATAGCCAGTCCTCTCACGTATCACTTCAGCTTGCTGCAATTCCACCAAGAAAATATAATTGTATCAAGAAGATTTGCGACCTGAATGTCTGAAGGCTCACTCATGTGTCTGTACCTGATACACAAGAGGCACCTTAGGCACCAAGAAAACAGCGAGCATCTTCTTGTTCTCCTTGAGCATTTTGTCACAGATGCTTTTGATGAGCAACACAGCTATGAGAGTCTTCCCAGCACCAGTTTCAAGGAAAGCTATTGTGTTCCTGCTCTTTGCTTGCTCAAGGACCTCGAGCTGGTACTGCCTCGCCTTCTCCTCAGTGACAGGCTTCTCGTTCCCCGTCCGATCCACCTCCGCCTTATTCTCTGTGGCAGGGGATCCATCCTGCGTCCTGGCACGCTTTCCGTGGCGGTCCGTCTCAGACTCCCACATGCCATGGCGGAACACCATCTTGCCGCCGCGGTCACGTTCCCAGAAACCCCGAGCGTCGCGTCGGTGGTGATCATGGCCGTAGTGACCGTCGCGGTCGCGCTTACGAGACCTGTCGTAGTCCCGCCTTCCGCGCCGGTCCTCCCACCCACGGGATGGAGGCAGGGGCGGCGGGGGCAGCATCGGACGCCGCCGCCAGTCGTGGCGCGGTCCCCCTGTACCACCCGCAGTGAGACGCTGGCGCTTGCCGTCCCTGCACTCCCCGCCGCCATTGGCCGCGGCGGCCGGGGACTCCCTCCTGGGCTCCTTCCTCGCCTCCACGGCCGGGGTCCTCTGCGACAGGTCCGCCACCGCCACCGCCACCGCATTGTGGGCCACGGTCGCAGCCGCCTCCTGCAACTGCGGCTGCGGCTGCAGCGGAGCCACGGGCGCTGACGCAGGAGGAGGCGGCGGCGGCGGCGGCAGCGCGGGACGGCCTCGGCGTTGATGCTCTCGAGTATCCGGTCGATCTCGGCGACGAAGCCGCCGTCGGCGCCGCAGTCCATGGCCGGTATGAGGCCCGGGTCGAAGTCGGCGGAAGCGGCGAAGTCGATGCCGCAGAGCAGGGAGGCGCCGTCCTCACACGCGTCGTACCAGTACGACGCCGCCGCGTGCTCGCCGCCGGCATCGCCGCCTCCTGGCCCTCCCGCCATCTCGCTCTGCAGCAACAGCAGCCACGCCGAAAGTTACAGGCCACAACAACGCCTCCACTAATCAACCAGCAGAGAGAGAACACAGGGGGAATCAGAATAAGAATAAGAAAGAGGCGAAGACGAATGTCGCTACTACTTGTGGGCGCCGCGGCGGCGGCGGGCGGACCGGGACCGAACCGAACCCAACCACGGAGAGAGAGTGGAAGAGAAAGAGGCGGTGATAAACCGTACGAATCACGCAAGCGCAGTGGGCGGGGCGAGGTGGAAGGGAGTGGAGAGTGGAAAGGGGTGGCGATGGCGATGCGGGGTTCCGATTCCGATATGGGGATGGGGGGGGCGCTCGATTCGATTCGACGGTGTATCAACACCACTCTTTCTCTTCACTCTCTCTCTCTCTCTCTCTCTGTCGTTCCCAGCTCTGATTGCCTTCTCCCTGCTGCCGTCCCTCGCCTGCTCCTCCCAGCTTGCTCTGATGATTTGATTTGAGGGAGGCGAGCCGAGGGGGACTCGACGAAGCGGGTGGGGGCTCTGGCCTCTGGGGGAGAGGAGGGGCTTCGAGGGGGGAAGAGGAGGGCGGAGACGGGAACCACGCTGCGCCCGGCGCACGGGAGCGGTCGGTCTCCCACTGACGTGCGGGGCATGGATGCAGGGGGCCAGGGTGTGGTGCGGTGGACCGGGCCTAGGGCGGGTCGGGAGCAGAGGCAGGCAGCACAGGGCGCGTGCGGTACGGGTCCAACTGCCCTTGGACTGGGGCATTTGTTACCTGTCGTGCGGGAATGACCTGCCGGGCCCAGCCGCAGCGGCGCGGGCCCGTGCGGTGGCTATGCCGCCGCGAGCGACGAGACGGGGGGACCGTGTGGCATGACTCCCTCCCTGTGCGGGCGTGTCAGAGCGTCTCGGGCTCGTTGACCGACCCTGCCCTGCGCACCGGAGTGGGCGGCTCCGTACGCCGCGCACGGTGTCAGCGCCAGTCCGTAGCCGCGACGAGGCGTGGCGGCATCCGGCAGCTATCATCACCCCCGCCCCCGACGTCCGCTGTGGTCGGCGGGAGTCGCCGAGTCGGGACAGGCAATAGCTTGTTTATTTGTTAGCTGAGAAATATTCCCATTAGCTGGTTTACTTTTTCAACGAGCTAATTCAGTTGCAAATAAATATTTTGTATTGATCCATTAGCTAATTAATGGAAGCAGCACAGGAAACAAACAGGAAAGAACAGCATTGATCTTCAGGATTAGCTGGTGTTGGCGTTGCATGGTGCGCAAAAGGCATGGGACATGACAGAGTTGTTGGGATCTCAGGACTGAGCCTGTGGGTCAGATGATGGAAGACAAATTGCAGCTATATGGGAAGAAAGCAAGGAGAAACCGGAAAAGGGTTGAAGCTGAATCGGATTGGAGAATACTTGACAAAGGAAGAAAGTATTTTGCAAGCGTTGGTTATTTGGCCGATCAAGCAAAGAAGTAGCAGGCATGCGTTTTGGACTGGTATCCGTACTTCTTGAGTTGCATGGCCAAATAAAATAGATTTGCAATTTATTCAGTCTGTAACTAGAAGAGAGTTACGTAACTGTATAGGAGTCTGATTCTGCCAAAGACCAGGCGACCCGACCCATATACATTATTATGGGGGTTATGGCCGATTTATGTTCTCTAACACAGTCGACACAAATCCAATCCACTGTTATCAGGTTCTTATACTTTCTTTATTTTTCGCATCTAGGTTAGCAGTCATGCTTTGGCTAGTTTCCCGCAAAAAGCCACAAGCTACAGCGTTATCGGAGTGTCATCCTTTGCTGTTCTTAGTCATAAAGCAGTCGAATCCCAATCGACGAAATTGTCCCTTTACTAGTTTGTTCGAAAACTAGTCGTGCCACTTCTACGAAAATGAAGCAATCTACTCATCGACGACTCCGTGTTGATTTTCAGCGTCAACACAACCTTCCTTTTACAGTTCCAAAAACGACGCTTGTGGAGGCTGCGGTTCGTTGCCAGGATTTTCCAATGGTGTTGTGGCATTAATTTGTTTTATTATTAGTGTTAGCTTTAGGGATATCCTTTGGAACTAATGGTAACAATTTTATAACAAGAGTTATATAGAAATTTTATTGAAATCTAGCATCCTAGAGGAACATCATCAGATATCTCATCTCCTCTCCTCTCCTCTCCTTAAATAAAATCTTATAACCGGAGATTTGATTGCTTCAGCACATCTCCTATAGGATTTCCTTTCCTTAAAAACATTGAGAGATATCTTAAAGTCTACCTCCTCTCCTGTAAAGAAAGGAGACGTTGGTGCATCTCCTATTTGTGGGTCCCATGGTCGAACTGTCGTGCTCATGCCACTGCCCGACGGACGCCCGCGACTCGCACCACCGCCACCCTGCACCTGCACCTGCATGCCGCCACCCGACTGTCGCTACTCCTTCACGCCTCGTGTCATGATTCGCCGTCTCTGGTGTGGCCACCTCACGCTTGCGGCTCGTGTCCCTGCTCATCGGTGCGGCCATCTCGCGCTACTAGCCACCACGTGCCTGCGATCACTCGCAATCGTCCGATTGGTGTAGGAAGTAAGAAGAAAGATGGATTTCACATGACATGTGGGCACCTCATGTAAGAATGGATAAAAAGGGGATCACAGGCACTCCTATATTTTGAAATTGCTTTTGAAGATGTCATATCCCCAGTTATAGAAGAGCAATGATAGATCCGATGGAGATTACTCTTATATAAACCCTATTCCAAGGACTACTACGGTTTGCCAAACTTTAGCTAACATGTAGCAAGCAAATTGTTTATCACATCTTAGACAACTTTTTTTTTGAAGGAAATCTTAGACGACTTTTGGCAACATGTACCTTTATATAACCTTTAGAAATCACATCCAAATACACCGTTAGTTTTCGAGTATTCGCGCTCTTGGACTTGAGCCTAGCCGCTTCATGCAGCACCTGCATTTTGGTGGAAAAATAAAGTGAGCAGACGCTCCTTTCAAAATCAAACAAAATATTCTAGCCGAGCACATGACGTGGACAGTGAGTGGCTGAGTGCGTCGACATGGCTGACTTGATAAGCCTAACTGGTGTTGTTTTATCGTGAGAAAAAAACACGATTCACTGGCCGATAAATCTGGACCAAAACCAACCATCTAACCGTCTGAAAAACTGAGCGCTTTCCCCGGATAAGAATCTGCCTCGCCGTGTTTAGTTCACCCCCAATATCCAAAAAGTTCTTTCTGATCACATCGCGCCACATCACGATTCATAAATGTGGACCAAAAAAACGCTTTCCCCGCTGATAAGAATCTTTGCCTATTTACTAAATAAAACTCCGTCTTCTGATTTTCCAAATTTCGCGAACAGTACTCCTACTACAGTACAGTACGTTCATCAGTTGCCTGCAGGAGAGTGTGCATGGGAGTGAACGCTTCCTGCCTGCCCTGTCCTTTCCTTCGTCTCTGACAAGCAGTCAAAGCGTGTAGGAGATATTTATGGGCACCCCGACAGGCTCCTCTGTCCGGGAATCCTCGGTATCATGGCTGCTCTGCCCACCAGCTCGGGTCAGGGATCGATCACGTGTCTCGCGCCCAACACCAACAACCTTCGGTTCTCTAGCCTCAGATCGACTCCATGCCTCGACATCAAAGAACGCCACGTAAAAATGCCCCGAGATGAGCGCATCAAAGAACGCATATCGCCTCTAGTACCACAGAAAGAAACAGATAAAGTCGCCACTGAACACGCACGCTCACCCTAAACAAATACACGCACACGCCTCATATTCCATATAAATCTCTGAAAAGTTGCACCGAGATATTTTAAAATTAGCAAAGTCACCATATTATACTCCTATAACATCATTAAATCCTTGAAAAAATTAAGAGACATATATAAAACACCTACATCAAATCAAAGAACTGAACTTATTCGCTATCGTAGTAACTATATATCAACCTATACTCCGTATTCACGTAAGACACGCTCAGTTCGCTATTATAGTCATAAATGTTGACGTTTTATTATATAATATAACAAAGTTAATCAAACTTATGGTTTAACTTGGTACTATATATTTTCTACTAGGCGGAGGAAGTGATTTTTTATCTCAAGCAAAGTAGCAAATAATAGCTACTTGCAAAAGCATCATCGATGAAAGAGGCCCCAAATCTCAATGCCAGGGAACATTCGATTGGCAGTCGACGACGAAGGCAAGTTGACAATAGCATTCGGTTCCAAGAGTCGCACAAAAGAACATTGGGGGTCCAAACTTATAAAAAAACGAAAGGGAAAACTTCATAGTTTATATCCTGTTCATTTGACACAGTTTGTGTTCTCTTCGGAATACCCTCGACTCGGATGCAACGCAACAAAATACAAAGAAATTCAAAGAGATACAAGGACAGAGGAAAGTTTTTTTAAGCTCCGATTTTTTTGTCTTAATTTTCAACAGTTCATTCATGCATCCCAAAGGAGCACAAAGGTTTTTGTGGGCGTGTTTTGTGTTATTTTTTCTACAATTTATTTAAAATGCATCCCAAAGGTGCACAGATTGTATTGTAGGGCCTCTTTGGTAGAACACATCTTTGATTCTAACGGATTATGGTGGGACAACAGAATAAAAATAGGTAAGAAATCATTATATAGTAATTCTGGTGTGGATTGAACATAGAGCAGTGAGAAGCAGAGTTTTTTTCACCTCAAAGTGTGAATGGACAATTGGATTTTGTTTTCTCCCTGCTAAAATATATGCGGATGTTTGTTGTTTCGCAGAGGAGGAGTGATTCTCACGGAGAAACTGCTCCAATGAGCGCGGGTACTTGTGTGGATTTTTGTTGTTTGGTAGAGGAGGAATGATTCTCACACAGAAACTACTTCAATGAATGTGGTTAAACGACCATGTATATTTATATCTCTACCTAACATTAGAGAGCGAAAACAATCTTTCTTCCGCCTCTCACTCTCTCGCGCGTTGTACATTTGTCATCCATTAGTCTCTCTATTCCAA